CATACAACATCGTTCTTGGAGATGTTTAGAGAGAGAGGAGAGAGGCGGCGAGACGACAGCAACGATCATAGGTCTGAGGCCAAATGAAACGGGTTTCTCCATAAATGATAGAAGTTCGATTCGGATAACTCTCTTTAAGAACGTGATTGGCGTTAGAGGAACGTTGTTGGCTTCACATAACGCCAGATTTTCCGTCTTCTTCGTGTGTATGTATGTTTATGTGTGCCTGAGAGGGAAAATGGATATGCAAATAGATAATATATACAGAGAATCGTGAGAAAAGCCCCCAAGAGATCGTTGTAAGGATGAAAGCTGACAATCAAGTAGATATAAATGTGGCAAAAAAATAGTACACTGTTGGTCCCTTATCTTCATTTTATGTGGTCATGTTTCAGTATTGAAATAGCTACAGAATTGGATTTCAGTGTTATCTACCTGTCACGTTTTTTCCATGCTACTTGCCGACAGGTTCGAGCATCATATACTATTTTCTTTGATTTGCACGTTTTCATTTTAATCAAACATTTCAACTAATGATTTTTCGAATTTTTTTTTTTTTTAATAACGAACAGGTTCTACACCTGTCTATTTGAGAAAAACAGAAGCAATGACATGTGGCCTCTTTTTAGTTAAAATTTAAAGGCCCTTGATTTTATTTTTAGTAGTAAAAAGTAATATTAAGCCTAGTTTTTTGAGAATTTTAAGAAATATCATTTTTCAAGTGCCACTTTTAAAAGATATCACTTTTTCAAAATCTTTGTAAAAATACTACGTTTTTAAAATTATTTTTTCATTATATCATTTATGTTTGGATTAACTATGTTGTATTAAGATTGAATTTTGAGGGTTTAAAGGGTCAAAATATTTTTTAGGGTTTATAATTTTAAGATTTAGGTTTTAAAAATCTATAACTAGTGGCGTTTTTGCAAATGGACACCTTTAAATGACATTTTTGCAAATGTACACACTAAAAGTGGCATTTTTGCAATTGCTTCTAGTTTTTTTTGGCTGCCTTTAAAAAAATACAATATTATAATATATGAACTAAAATCAAAAGTTAAAAAACATAATGCATTTAAGGTTGATTTGTTGATAATTTAAATTTCATGATGAAATAAATTATTCAAAATTAAAGTTCATAACTTTTATTTTTTGCTAAGCATAACACAAAGAAGTTTCAGCAACTCGATTATCTTGTCTAGAATATTAACTAAATGTGTGTATTTTGAAATAGAGAAATATTGGTTAGCGATTTGTAGAAAAAAATGAAACAAAAAATTATGTTTTATAATTAATTTTGGTTATTAGATGTTTTAGTTAAATGCACGGAATTAAAAAATAAAATTACAAACATTACTTAATAATTCGTGAAAAATATATTTTAACCAACTATAAATTCAAAAAGTCAAAAATATTATATAACATTAAAATTTCCATATAAATTAGTAAAATATTTTTAAAATAAAATAAAAAATCTCTTAAACATCTTATATATGGAATAGAGGGACTACTCAGGTTTTTTACTTTTTTATATAGAATATATTATTTGATATGAACTGAAATATTTTTTAAACATCGCCTCTGGCCTCTAAAACCCTAGGCACGACTCTGTCTGGA